GGGGGGTCCCGGGTATGGGGATGGGACGGGGGGTCCCGGGCATGGGGAGGGCACGGGGGGGTCCTGGGCATGGGGAGGGCACGGGGGGTCCCCGAGGCTCTGCGCCCACCTGTGCCCCCTCCCCAGGTGCCCATGATCAGCGGGCGAGGGCTGGGCCACACCGGGGGCACCCTGGACAAGCTGGAGGCCATTCCCGGGTTCCGCGTGTCCCAGAGCCCCGAGGAGGTGATGGATTGGGGGGTGACGGGTGGGGGGACACCACGGGAACCCCCAAACCCGGCGGGAACCGGGATCGGGGGCGCCGGGGCTCCAGAGAGGTGGGGGTGACAGTGGGGGGGTCCATGGGGTGTCAATGGGGTGTCCGTGGGGTGTCCACGGGGTGTCAGTGGGGTGTCCATGAGGTGTGGGGTGTCCGTGGGGTGTCAGTGGTGTGTCAGTGGGTATCAATGGGGTGTCCATGGGGCGTCAGTGGTGTCAATGGGGTGTCCGTGGGGTGTCACCGAGGTGTCACCGGGGTGTCCATGGGGTGTGGGGTGTCCGTGGGGTGTCAGTGGTGTGTCAGTGGGTATCAATGGGGTGTCCATGGGGCGTCAGTGGTGTCAATGGGGTGTCCGTGGGGTGTCACCGAGGTGTCACCGGGGTGTCCATGGGGTGTGGGGTGTCCGTGGGGTATCAGTGGCGTCCCCGGTGTGCCCGCGGGGTGCCCATGGGGTGTCCCCGGGTTGTCCCCGGTGTGCCCGCGGGGTGTCCGTGCTGTCCCACCGTGCCCCCGCCGGTGCCCGCAGATGCAGCAGATCCTGGAGCGGGTGGGCTGCTGCATCGTGGGGCAGAGCTCGGAGCTGGTGCCCGCCGACCGCGTGCTCTACGGGCTGCGCGATGTCACGGCCACCGTGGACAGCCTGCCGCTCATCACCGGTACGCGGGGGGCTGCGGGGGGCTGCGGGGGGCTGCGGGGAGCGGGGAGGGGGCGCAGGGTGACCCCCCCCCCGGGCCCTCCGCAGCCTCCATCCTCAGCAAGAAGGCGGCGGAGCGGCTCTCGGCGCTGGTGCTCGATGTCAAGTTCGGGGAGGCGGCTCTGTACCCCACCCAGGAGAGCGCTCGGGAGCTGGCGCGGAGCCTGGTGAGACCCCCGGGACCCCCCGGGACCCCTGCCCGCTGTCCCTGCCCGCTGTGGCCGCCACCCCCGGGCGTGTCCCCGCGCAGGTGGAGGTGGGCACGCAGCTGGGCATCCGCACCGCGGCTGTGCTGAGCCGCATGGAGCAGCCGCTGGGCCGGGCCGTGGGAAACGCGCTGGAGGTGCTGGAGGCGCTGGAGTGCCTGGGGGGCAGCGGGCCCCCCGACCTGCGACAGCTGGTGACAGCCCTGGGTCAGTGGGGGACACGGGGGGACACCGGGGGACACGGGGGGACACCGGGGGACACGGGGGGACACGGGGGGACAAGGACAGGGGGTGGCCCCCCCCGATCTGCGACAGCTGGTGACAGCCCTGGGTCAGTGAGGGACACGGGGGGACACCGGGGGACACGGGGGGACACCAGGGGACAAGGACAGGGGGTGGCCCAGGGTCCTGTGTCCAGTCCTGACCCCCCAGTCCAGGGGTCCCCCACTCTCTGTCCCCTCCTAAGCCCCTCCTGGGGTCCCTGTCCCCCTCCCCTTCCCCCCGTCCCGCAGTGGGTGGGGGGCACAGAGGGGCAGGGTTTGGGGGGGTCTCCAGGACTGGGGGTCCCTGGGGGCTCCCAGCCCTGTCCCGATATTTGGGTGAGGGTCCCAGCCCTGTCCCGATATTTGGGTGAGGGTCCCAGCTGTATCCCGATATTTGGGTGAGGGTCCCAGCTGTATCTCGGTGTTTGGGTGAGGGTCCCAGCCCATGTCCCAGCCATGTCGCGATATCTGGGTGCAGGGGGCACGCTGCTGTGGCAGTG